TTGTTAGCATCGCATCACTTTAACCCTATTCTGATAAAACAGCTGCAAAAAAGTGCTTAATTCTCTCAAAAATCATTTTGATGGACACTGAAACAACTTTTCACCATGTATTTGTTTGTAGCAATTTGCATTGTTTGCCCTGTGGCGATCCCAAAACCCTTTGCACATTGTAGAGGGATTACTGACAACTCATTCATTTGCTCACCTTCATCTTGATCTGGTCTGCTTATTTTCTTGGTAAATTAACTCTCACTGGGAAATAAAAAGAGAAAATTTTCAGAGCAACCTTGAGGAAATGATCTTTTCATGAGACTATTATTGGTCATAAATAATGGTCTCTCAAAGTTAAAATACATGTAAAAATGTCTTTGAAATGCTCATCAGTGTCAATTTAGTTGAGGCCTTTTGTTGCTTCCTGTAGATGTCAAGGGTGTTGACAATCCGGATCTTTGAAACAATACATACACTGCAAGAAGATGAATCTCAGAAATATTTTGGAAGAGTTCTTGAATGTTGCAAAGTGGCATTTCTATGTCTGATGGCTGACATCAAACTAGCTGTAAATTTATAGTAGTTTCTCCCAGTGGCCACACATTTTCACAGACCTTTCTGTCACGCCATGTCAAGCAAGTCTGGGTATCTTCATGTTTGTACAAGTAGTCTCTTTTGAGTAGTTTCACGCCTGGAGATTTCAGGTCACAAGTTTGTTTGGGAAGACTGATCCTGTTAAATATGATAGTGTCACAGGCAAACTTAGATGCCATGCCTTATTGACACACTCTACTCTGATCTGGAGCATCAGCATTTTTAAAGAGAATTTTGGAAATTGGTTTATGTAAAGAGATTAACAGAATGGTTTTAAGTCTCTAAATGTCTTCAAGCCTGTCTTTAGTGAAGTCTTTTAATTCTTGATAACACAAGGAACTTTTGCAATTCCCAAATAGTGAAAAAAATGGTGAATTTATGGGTTTTGATTGGTATTTCCCTAACTGGGTAAATGCTACCAAATCCAATCTTGGGTTAAAAAAAACCCCATTATATCCCCAAAGATGGGATTTAATTGACCCAGTTTAAACCCAGTAATGATTATACCAACCCAGCTTAAACCCAGTCATGAAATTAAATTGATCCAATTTAAACCCACTTATGGGATAAACTTGATTCAGTTTTAACCTAGTAATGGGATTAAATAGACCCAGTTTAAACCCAATGGGCAATTTGATAATATTAGAGTGATTTTGCTTAACCCACGAATAAGATTGTACAGCAGATAGTGCATGTATTACTAACTAAATTGTTTACTTCTGTCTAATAGTCACTGACCTATTGTACTGTATTTTGTTTCACAGGTTAAGTAAAATCATGCTCACATAATAACTTGCATATACAACAATATAGAACAGCCTTACAGTTGTAAGGATACAATGAACGGATATTTTGTTAAGAAACTAAGTAAATTAACAAAACAATGCTATTTGTGGTGCAACATAATTCTTAACACTTATGTTATTTTTTCTTATAAGAAATACTCTAAAGGGCAATTTCTTTGTGTGCTGTGATGTCTTCAATTTTCAGTAAAATCATGATCACACAATACAACTTGCATACACAATGGTACAGATGTATGGATATAATTAACAGATATTTTGTTTATGAACTGAGTAACTCAACAGAACGATGCTCTTTGTGGCACAACGTTATTCTTAACACTTGTGTTATTTTTTCTCACAAGAAATACTCTAAAGAGCAATTTCTCTGTGTACTGTGATTTTTTTCCATTCTCAGGTTTGTAATGTTTGTCTCTAGTCCATCCTTAATGGAACAGTACTTCTGGGTTAAAAGTGGTTAATCTAATACTTCCATCAGCTGGGTCATTGTTAACGATGTAATTATATCTGGCTTTACAGTAAAGTTTTGTTTTTGAGGACTTTCACAACATGCTCCCTGTCAACTTGCACTATGCCAAAAACTGCTTTGAAGATCACCTAACAAGCCTTTAGATTATATGTACATACAGCAGGAAGTCTCTGACTAGGAGAAATATCTTTTGACAGCTTAGGAGTGTCTAGTGAAAATGTTGATTGTATATCTTCAAATCATCTCTCTCGTTTTCTTTATTCCCATCCACCTGCAGAAACAAAAAAAATGAGTATTGATTGTACACTCTTGCTGTTCTAAAAAATTAATAGTTTTCTGAAACTGCAAACTAAGGCAGGTGATCTTGGTGCAAAAAATGATCGCAAGAAAGTTGTAAAACAAGCAACCTGTAATAAACTCAAATGAACATAAAATTAATGAGCCGAAAAGAATTACTTCAAAATAAACAGATGATAGACTTTGGACATACAAAGACCCCAATTAAAATGGATTTTTCTAAGGTCCTTGTTAGTAGTGGAAATATCAAGCTGTGCATATGTGAGTTGGTCTTATTAAGTCATGGCTAACATTTAGCTGTGTTCAAGATTGCTTGATAACAGTTCCAATCCCTTGCTTTGGGATGCCATTTTGATTTTTGTGATTCAACTTGAAAAATATTGGCCTTATCTTTCTCAAGCCTGAGCCTCGGGGGGTGCATACGCAGCTCATGCTACTCTTCCTTTAATGTCCTGACTTACAGTCATTCATAACTCATTTCAGGCCAAGCTTGTGGCTTCCACATGTAAGTTTACATGTATCAGATACATTATTATGTTAAGGTAAGATACAATCTGCATTATGCCATTTCCCATACCACCAAAGCTTATCCATGTTTCTGTATCATTAAGCAACTAGCACTATTTCTACTCCATTCCAGATGGGGTGCAAGTCTATCACAGGGTTGCCCCCAGCAGTAAATTTATTGTCACCCATGAAGGTGGAGAGAGACACTGCATGGGAGCAAGGTGCCTTCCTCAAGAAAACAAAGCAGTGACCCAGGCTAGTTGATTTAGAGACCAGCCCAGTGCCCATTAGCAACTGCTTTTTCCACATCAGACAAGTTAAACCACCTAAAAGGATCTCAATGTTGGCTGAAAAAATTTTCCACCCACAGACAAATTAAACAATGATTTCCACCAAACTTAATTTTGCATTAGTGTTACCTTTGGTTTAGTCTTATTCTTTGTGAACTGGCCTTCTGATTCACAGCCTTCATGGTTGGCAGACTGAAAAAAATTTCATCATTAAAATAAAATAAATGACTGCCATAATATAATTATTTTTGAAAATTAAAAAAATGTCACAAATTGCAAAGTTTAGACGGTAGTTTTACCAATAGTGTAATCAATTATTGGTTACTCTATTTTTCCAGGCAAGAGTTGGCTCACAAGTTAGTTAACGACCTTACAGCCTCCTCTTCATGTAAATAAGGTTACAGATATGTGATTAGAATTTTACTACAAAAAAATAAATCAAGACATACCTTTTGTTGAATCTTTTTCTTTTTAGGTGGTCATCTACTTCAGTGTCTTCAGAACTAGCATACTAAAGAGTTTCACATTAAGGCAGTCCTTCTTAGCAAAGCTTTGAAGCTGCTATATATCTCATACAAGAAAACATGAATTTAGTCACAACAAAACAATAAAGTCTAAAAAATGTGTGACACTCCCACGTACTAATCAGTGTAGTCAAATACCAATAATAATAAAGGCAATACATGTACCTTAGAGTGTCGTTTCAACTTGAGATAACGTCTCTGCTCATTACGGAAATCCTGGACGTGCTTTGCTATGCCCTCTTCATTGAAACCAACCTCTGGGTACTGCAAACTGGTGCTATTTCTGCAGAGAACTCATTTAGTTTTGCCTTCATTTGTGGAGAGTTAAACTTGGGAAATTCTGGACCCCACTTTTCAGTTGCCAGAACCCTAACCCCCTTCTGCAAGACATTTTTAGATCAATAACAAATGTTGAACTTACAAGTCACTGTTTCTCTAAGTAAAGTGAAATAGAGGGATTTGTTAGATTTCTTTTTAAATTACGGCATTTACACAAGCAAGGTATTGGGTGGGGAGGTAAAGTGAAGTGTTATTGAGATTGTACTTAGTTACATGAGTGCCAAGTAAAATGCCACTGTGAAGAGGGGAAGGGAATACAGCTGTGCGATTTTCAGTTGTCCATATTAAATAATGTATGTTGAAAACGTTATGATACCGGTACAAGTTGTGGCCAACAATAAACTCATTGGAAACGTGTCTTACTTTGATAAATACAGTCGTCTCATTTCTGTTGTAAAGTTGGCAATAGCTGCCATTGTTGGTTTGACAGGTGGAGACGATGATTTTGACTGTACTGACTGCAAAGGTCGTCCAAATTCTTTTCTAAATTTCACTGCTTTACCATATACATTAAACCTAATCTCGTAAATATTGGTGCATCTGGTTCTCGGTGAGCTAGGTCTTCAATTGCTGAATCGTTGATGATTTCCTCCTCAAAGAAGCAAAAGTTAAAAGTTTGGGATAGGTTGTTAAATAATTGTCAGCTCAGGTACTAAAAGCTTCGCAAATGTTAATGCAGGTGCACGTTACGTGGAACACTTACTTTCAAATGCTGTTTTGATTTCCTCATCAAATTTGGTTTCTATCTTCTGTATGAAGGTCAATGAGGACTTCTCCTGGTCAGAGACTTTGATTGCTATCTTCAGCTGCCATCTCGCAATGCAAACAAATGTACAACAAAGACAAAATGGCAGTGAAAAAAGCCAAAATGAAACACACCAAAACTTAGCTTACATCGAATGATATTACGGCATTTCGTATTGAATTGTTTTCCCGCTATTTTTGTTACATCGCCATCCTCTTTCTGTACTTCAACTTTATTGATTAAAATTGGATTTGGCAAGGGAAGCCTGCTGGGCCACTGAATTGCTGGTGTACCTCCTTAAAAAAAAAACATGGCGGCTCATGTAAACAAAACTTCCGAACTATATTCCTTGTTTCCTTGGCCTTATGAGCAATTATTCCAGAAGGAATGAATGTACCTTGGTTCAGAGATGAAATTTCTGGTTGCGACTGCAATGAAAAAATGTACAGACATGTTCACTGTCCTTGCTTTGCATGTAAAGGAAGGGCAACTGTCAGAAAAACGGAACTTCGACATTGGAATGAAACTTGTCAGTTTACAGCCACCAATTCTGCTAGTGTGGTTAGCAATGACTTAGACAATGATTCACACATTTCAGATGATATATTCTTTGAAGATGTTGGAGAATGTGACCAACCAGCAGAAAACACATATGGAACAGGTTGTAATCCTGAACTGAGGCGTGACCTGCAACAAAGTGATGGGATCGATGACGATGAAGTAAACTCCATCTAGAGTCCTATGAAAAAGTTAGTTGTTAAGGTGGTTCTTGACGCACTGAGAATAAAGCATAAAAGTGGAGTGTCAGTAAGTATGTTTGAAGATGTCTTGGAGTATGGAAAGACATTGTTATATACATCTCTAGGTGATGATGTAGATGGGGATATTTTGACTACTTCATTGCTGAAAAGTTGGAATGATGTGCAATTGCTTTTGAAAGAAGAGGGCAATGAAGATGCTAAACAGTAG